GACTTATGGTATGAAAGAGTTGTCCGTAAAGTGTCTCTCAGTTTATGGACTGATCTGTGGATTAATGCGTCAAAAGTGAGACCAAGTGTTCACTCAACTCAATGATAGCGTTTTAGAGATGTATAGCGATTTACAAACAACATAACCTCATAGTGAATGCATGTGCTATTTTTGGTACTTTTGTGCGTGGATTATACATGACATTTTTACCTTTATACATAATTACAAAAAGTACCAAAAATAGCACATGCATTCACTATGAGGTTATGTTGTTTGTAAATCGCTATACATCTCAAAAACGCTATCATTGAGTTGACTTTCATTGAAAACAATTATCACATGATTTGTGTCCCAATTTAGACTCACAGGGACTCCAAAAACCTATGGCTTAACACAATTGGCGCACATTTTGAAGCATTTCAATAAAAATTATTTTTGAAATCTTTATTTGATTTAAAATGATTTGTTTATCAAATTAGTTATAATGAAACATATAATTAAAGTTACAATCAATATTCAATGAATAAGACATTAAATCCAGTATTTTATGAAACAATTATACTATAAATCATTTGAAAGGAAACCAATGTTTGAAAAATATGTTGAAAAAAACAATCATTACTTCAATTCACATATCATTAAGTGTTTGATTGAAAACAATAAGAAAAGTTTGTTTTGAAATTAATTAGAAAAGTCACACAATTATTAAAACACAAATTTTACGAAAAAAAATTCACTAATGATTATACAATCTATAATTTAACTAAAAAATTATCGGCTAATCAATGAATTAAACCATTAATTAAATAAATATTAAACACAATACTTAAATAAACAGTATTTGAACACTAAATCTGTTTTACAATAAGAGAAAAGAATAAATTGTGAAAATTATTAAAGATGTGTTGAAATGATTAGAAATAATTTATTCGTTTTCCAAACATTTAACATTAGCCGACAATTGCAAGACATCAAAGGTATGCATAAAATAAGCCCTAATGGGACCGTCGGTCGGACACGTGATATCAATGGCTTTCATTAAATTGGCGATCAATTCATTGAACACACATTTGTCTAATTGCGGACAATTGTGTACTCTTAGGACAATTGTATTCAAATACCATGTCTTCGTCGGATGATAGTCACCAAATATCACATCCAAATCGGACAACACTTTCCGCAAGTGATCCATGAATTGTGCTTCAAATCTGAAGACATGGACGGGAAAGAGGTCTTCGTTTAGGAAGCGTTGGTTATCGACCCGACGGTCCAAATGGTGTACACATTTGTCGCACTCGCAGACTAGTAACCACTGTTTGAGTACATTTTGTCGGTAAGTGCGGTCGCCCTCTAAGTGCTGTACGCGACTTATGGTAATCTCTTGGTTGGCGGCGATGGGTCTCATTGCCCGCAATTCAAACGATTGTCCTATTAATGAGTGATTGGAGATAATTATTAAATTAATGGTATAAATAGTTGGTATATTGTATAACCTCTGCCGCTGTAAATGAGGGCACTGTTGGGCTGACAGCTGTGTTTGAGATACCGGTGCTGTAGGTATACACCTATACCTATTGATTCAGACATTGGATGACCGCATCGTATGTATGTAAACGGTTCGCAACTGTAGAGGAATGACATCCAATGTATTACTTCTAGGGGTTCGAAAGGAAGGCCTAATTCCTCTAAGACTTCTCGTAATGCCTGGAACTCAAGCATTCGCTCGTTAATGGCTTTCACATAAATGATATCCACTTTGATATCATTGAGACTGACGTCCGATCCGTCAAACAATCGGTGCTTTTCTGTGGCAAACGTTGGGATGTTTTGCACCGATAGATACAATCGGAACCAAAGTCTGAGCCCTTCATTAGTTCGAAGCAATATTGGCATTTCGTGGCCATAGAGTGGACACTCATTCTTGTGATACTTCCAGTCATTCTTCTGACACTCTTTACCGCAATAATGCATTTGAAGACATTTCGCGCATCGCTTCAATTGATCCGATTGTTTGAAACAATTGTCACAATATTTGCCTTTGGATCTCATTAACAGGATATGAATGATAGGTATGTCTTGAGTGATCACATCTCCCGGTGATAACGGTTTCGACAGTTTGGGTGACATTTCTGGCCATAGATTTGATCACAACTTTTAAATACAGAATGAATTTGTATTGAATTTCACAAATACTTACCACTGATTGTATGATTGGATTCAATTGGGAGACAATGTCTTGTGTGGGAAACGATGGCTGAATGAGTGACTAAATTGTGAATCAATCGATGAACGGATGGTTTAATGTCTGAAACTCTCACTACAAGTGAAGGTCAGCACAAAGTCAAGTGTGGGTCACGTGTTGTCATATTTAACGCTTATTATGGCTATTGCTGTGATTTTAAGGCAATATTTACCACAGATTTGGGAATATTTCCAATTTTGTGTTTAGAAACAAAAATTAAATAAAATTTTTTAATTTATATTACGTTTGTAAATAACTTATTAGAATTAATACTAGAATTTATACACAAAATTGATGGTAATATTAAGCCCGAAGTTATTTAAATACATTAAATGAATCGGGAATTCCCGGAAAAGTCTTATTGTGGCCACAATTGTCGCATTTGAATGCATTATAATTCAAAATTAAGGCTAAAATATTTATAATTTTCATTTAATGTAAAAAATAAACTAATATTTGTTTTAAATCTTCATATTTTTATTAATACATTGAACAAAATTACAATCAAAATAATAATTTGTTTAAAAAATTATAATAAATGAGACAATAAATCATTGGTTAATACAGTACTGTATTTATGTTATGACATAATAAATAAGAAAATTTTTTAATCAATGTTTGAAAATGTGTTTAAGAGAAACACATCTTGAATTTTCTCATCATTTTTCACATTAAAAATAATAAAAATTAATCACAAATACAATTAAATAATCATAAGTTTTGAATTATGTTTTGTGTGATTAAACCAAATAATGTGAATAAAAGTTTTACTAAAACACAATGAAATTATTAATTAAAAATGATTTTAAAGTTCTATCAAAATATTATTGCAAAGTATTCAAAAATAATTGACCGATAATTAATAAATTATATCATTTAAAAAGTCAAACAATTGATTAATACATAAATACCACAGAATTTAAACCAAAAGTTTTACAAATCATTTGGGAATTTAATAAATTATAAGAAAATCAATTGAATATTTATGAGTAAAAATACAATTAATCGTATGTTTTGTATTGAGATTTAGAACAAGTGAATGAAAGTTATACTAAAAAACAGAAACGAATGTTTGATTAAAAGCTAAAACACACAAAATATTAATTAGTTTTAAAAGCGGAATAACTATTAAATACAATAATTAAGGAATAAAAGGGAATTACGTTTGA